GGATCTCAAACCCTGGGACAGTGGCCCCAAAGGAAGGCGCACGAGTCCTCACTCTCCAACTTCCTCCCTTCTTCCCGGGACCTGCCAGCCCCCGCGGCCTTCCAGGGACTGATTCCTTCCACCTCCTTGCAAAATGCACTCTCCGTCAGGCTGCCACATCTCCAGGATCCCCGGGTACCTCCCATGCACCCCCCACTTCCAGGACCCTGGTCAGGCTGGGTTGTTCGGATTTTCCCCTAGACCTCTCCTGCAGTTCTTTATTCACTAACAACAGCTCCGCCTAGCAGGAGATTTACCGGCTCCTGGTGCATCTCGGTGAGTGCCCAGGACCCAGGCGTGAGTGCCTGACCCCAGACCACCTGAATCTGAGTACAGGTAAGAGCTGGTCCTACCGCGCCCAGAAACCTCTTTCCCAGCCTCCGTCTTGTAAGGAAGCTGGAGGTTCTGCTGCCCTCTTAGGGAGGTGGGCTATGGGTCTCCTTCTTTGTGGCTGATTATGACATTATCCTTAAGTCTCTCTGGATGACAGTGTGTCATTGGAGGCGGGACTGCGTGTGCCTCTCTGCTGTTGCATTCATGTGTGCACTTAAAACACAGATTATTTTTTTCTGTGTTCCTCCTTACGTGAAAACACTTGTGAGGCCGCAGTGTTTGGGCCCTGAGTGTGTGTGGTGCGTGCTGGTGTGGGTCTGTGTGTCCTTGTGGGATGCCCCTTGTGTGTGTACAGCCTGAAGGGCAGCCACCACCCAAACATCATCACAGGGCAGCTGGTGTCCTGGGCTCATAACCCAGTGTTCAGCCACCGTCCCTTTTTTTATGGGCCACTTTTATGATTATTATTTTTACCAACAGCTCCAAGCAGAGGTCTGCACACCCAGGCCTCCTGGAAGGCAGTCACAGCTCTGCCGTTCAGCCAGGAGGCCAAAGGGGCCGTGCACAGGCAGCCAGGGCCACCAGAGTCTATATTTGGAAACGAATTCCACAGTCACTTCCTGGGAACTGGGCGAAAGGTGCCTGGGAGTCAGGGGGACAGTGTCGTAAATGAGACGCCCTCTCTTACCTTCCCAAGCCAGTGCTCAGGAGAAGCCCCCACGCCCTGGCAGGTTGGGGATGTCAAGTGCAGGAAATGGGCTGGATACACACCTGGACAGTGGGCGGGGCGATTGCTCCCTCTGCAGGCAGAGTTAAGGAGGTGGGTCGCTGATACACGCCTCACCCACTGGCCCCTAGCACCCACCCCCAGGTATGCACAGGCACCCAGCACACACCTCCAGGGCCCTCCCCACTCACGGAGGGAAGAGGAGTTGAAGTCCCAACCACATTTACTTCTTGAAAGTTGGTTCCAAGGGATCAGGTGCTGCAGCCTGGCTGTCCCCCAAGTGCCTTTGACCTTGACCCCTAAAGCCATGGGCCTGCTGGGCTCACTCCAGAGGGGATCTGCTCCTGGAGCCCTGTAGATGCCAGGACCACAGTCCCTTACAGCCAGCCTTCCTGGGGTACAGGTGGGGGAACATGGGGTTGCCTGGGCTACTGAGCCCCACTTCCACCAGCCCCACACTGAAAGCAGTGAGGCCCTTCCATGGTGCTGGGAGGAAGCTGGCTTGCCTGCATCCTGTGTCCTGCCCCCTTGCTGATGCTGCCATCCCCGCCCTCTGTCCCCAAGGGGTCATGCAACAAGATGCCCAGACTCAGCCACTTGAGAGTGACTTATAGCACAGACAGCCATGCACAGCCACCCACTGCAGGTACAGGTGTGGCCATTCTGTCTCACATACGCACACACTTCTCACATCCATTGATCCATGATGTGCATTCAATCACTGTGTCCACAGCCCACCCTGGACCCTCTCATCTCCTCACCTGTAGCCTGGACATGGGTGCAGTCAGAGTCGGGCTCCCCTTCCCAGCCTGGCAGAAGCAATTGTTGGGCACAATCAGGGATCACTTACCAAGGCATGATGGGGCTCCTCTGGGAGAACTCTTGGATTCAACAGCCCCACCCAGGCAGAGAATCACCAATTCAGGAGGAGGAAGGATGGGTGGGGTTTTGTAGCAGCGAGGGAGAAGCCTCTTTCCAGCTACACCCTCAGCGTTGCAACCTTGCAACCAAAATTTCCCTAGTTGCCTGTCAACCCCCCTGGGGCTCTGACAGAGACTCATCCAGTGGGTGGGACCTGAGTGGGCCCTTAGCAATCCCTAGTCCAGCTCTCTGATTTTATATATGGGGAAACTGAGGTCTAGAGGCACAAAGACAGGGAAGGGAACTGAAAAATTTCCTGAGGATTTTGGAGTAGAGCTGGGACTGGGACCCGCATCTTCTGCCCCTCGTGCAGACCACACTGCAAGGATACTGGACACACGCCCACCACCCCTGCCATCACCACTCTTCCATCTACTGGCCCATTCCAGCTCCCAGGGATACTTGAGTTACCTGCCCCTAAGCAAAAGTGAGGCATCAGATCATGTCCCATTCCTGCTTACAGCCCTCCAAAGGAAAACTCGAAGGTCTTAAGATAAAATCCCAACTCCTTCCTGTATCTTTAAGGCTTGCATGAGCTGTCCTGTACCTGCCCCTCCCACTTCATCTGCTCCCTTTCTGCCTCCACATTTCATCCATCTCCTTCTCTGTTCCTCATTTACATCAACCTTCGTTCCCACCCCAGGGCCTTTGCACATGCCATTCCCTCTGCTTCCAGCTCTCCTCCTATCACTTTTGCGACATGCTTGTTTACTGCCTGCCTCCACCACAGGCTCTAAATGGCTGAGGACAGAGATCATGGCTGTCTCATTCAACACAACACCCGGCCCTTTCATGTT